GAAAAAAAAAAATCTGAAGCCAATGAAGGCAACAGGAGTGTGGCCATCTGGGTCTGCTCCTGGGTTTCAGAGTGAGTTGATGGTGCATAAGCAAAGTGGCCCCCGGCGGGGATGGTCCACTTTATAAGAGCTGCCCTCTCGGCCCCCACCAGCCCTCAGGTCTTCAAACCTGCCATATCTCAGGTAAAATAGACTGTGCCAGGTGCTGTACTAAGCCTTGGGAGTCCAATGAACAAGACACAGGCCTCTGTCTTCAAGGAGCTTACAGTTTCAAAGGAGGGACGCTTACAAGCACAGTTGGCTGAGATGACTGACTGGAAATAGCTACAGTTCTTTGGCTGTTGCTCTATGTCATTTATTTTTTTTTTTGACAGGCAGAGAGAGACAGAAAGGTCTTCCTTTGCCCTCCAATGGCGCCGGCTGCAGCGCACCACGCTGATCTGAAGGCAGGAGCCAGGTGCTTCCTCCTGGTCTCCCATGCAGGTGCAGGGCCCAAGCACTTGGGCCATCCTCCACTGCCTTCCCGGGCCACAGCAGAGAGCTGGCCTGGAAGAGGGGCAACCGGGACAGAATCTGGCGCCCTGACCGGGACTAGAACCCGGTGTGCCGGCACTGCAAGGCGGAGGATTAGCCTAGTGAGCCGCGGTGGCGCCGGCCTTCTTTGGCTGTTTTCAACGTGACTTCCTAGCTCTTCTCATCCAGAGAGGGAAGCTTCTTCTTCCCCCTTGGAGGAATACCGAGGCTGACCTGGTATTGAACTTTCATCAGTAAAATACATTTGAAGTGTTGGTGTGTTAGCTTTGAGCCTAGGCCTCAACTGGCCTTGTGTTATTACACCATTTCTAGGACCTTTGCAAAGTTGCTAGGAGAGCAAACCCAAGCAAACCTCCTTGCTGATGAGAGACACATGAGCCAGTCACCTCTGGCCCCTTAGCTGACAGCAGGCCAGCTCTAAGATATGCAAATAAAGAGACTCAACCAGCTATCCCCTATGTATCTGGCCAGCTGACCACAGATGCATGAGTGAGCTTAAGCAAGGGTAGCCGAGCATGGCCCAGATCAGCAGAGTGGTTCAGCCAGTTCACAGATGCGTGAGCAATAAGAAACGTTCATTGCTTAAAGCAGGCATTGGCAAACTATGGCCTCTGGGTGGGCTGGCCACCTGTTTACATACATAAACTTTTATTACAATACAGTCATGTCCATTGATTGATTGATTGATTGTCTAACATTTTGAATTACTAAGATGGAGATGAGTAGTTCCAACAGGGACCATGTGCCGTACAAAACCTAAACTATTAACTCTCTGGTTCTTCAAGAAAATGTCTGCTGACCTCTGGTTCAAAGCTATGGAGTTTTGGAAGGATTTGTTACATGGTGCCAGCCCTCAATGCCTAGGGGCTAGAAGATAGGGCCAGTGAAGACACAAAGAAGGATGGGTTAGCTCTTCTCTATGGTGACAGGGAGTGCTCGGGAGAGGAAGTGATGCTAGCTATGTCTTGAGCCTGTGTGGAATTGGCCCAGAGGGAAACGATGAGGAAATCAAGGGTCAGAATGATTGTGATCAGCCCAAGGTCATGTGGCAGGTCTCCCAGTTCCTGTTCAGAGATGCCTTTTCCCTTGCTCCCTTGGAGAGACAATTTAACCTTTTGAGTCAGAGAGAGGGCCATGGGGCAGACAGAGCTGGTTTGGCCCTCCCGCTCTGCCCTTTGTGAGATGTGTGGATTAGGGCAACGTATTTCGTTTCTCTATACCTTAGTTTCTTCATCCATAGTGTGGGGAAGTAATACCCATCTCATAGCGTTTCCAGGAAATTGAGATGATGGGCACCTTGCTTTGTAGTGACACAGCAGGCTGCAGAGATATTAAGCACAGCTCAGACATAGGCACCACGGGGCTTCTGTTTTTTTTTTTTTTTTTTTTTTTTTTTTTTTTTTCCCAGCACGGGAGATTGTGGACCAAAGAAATGTGCTCCACTGCTGGAATTTTGAGTGGGATGGATGACTTTGAACATCACAAATGTGTACCTGTGAACCCTTTGTCGCTCGGAGACCACCTGCTTCCCTGCTGGGATTATCTCCCCCTGAAGACCCCCACCACAACAGCTTCTTGGAGCCCCTACTCTGGACTGCTCTCTATGTCCCAACCCTCCCCAAGTGGTGGGAGAGTGTATGGGCCTGGGGATTTGGTCACCTTGCACTTGTCTCTAAGATCTTGAACTCAGGATGGAGTCCATCCACAACCCCTTTAGATGATGAGGACGTATGAAGGGGGGTGAACTGGAATTGTTGTGCTGGGCTCTGCTCTGGGAATTGGGAATGAGCCAGCCTTGAGTTCCTCTTGTTCCAGAATTCAGAGTTCACTGTAGGAGGTGGACCATCAGAAACATCAAACAGATGTTTTTGGCCCAAGGCAGTGAGCCTAGAAGCAGAGAGAGCACGGTGTAGCCCGGGGCTCAGGAAATGCTGCTCAGGTATGTGAGCTGAGTCTTCTAGCCTGGGGAGGAGCCGGCCACATAAAGACTGAGTGGGAAAGGCAGAGCAAACAGCCTGGGCAGAGGGAGGGTGATGAAACAGCTCAGCCTGTGCAAGGCATGATGGGAGCTTGGGGTAGCTGAGCAGGGAATCTAGAGAAAGGTGAAGTCAGCAGAGTGAGCGGAGCTTAGGCCATCCCATCGTCACAAGCCCAGAATCAAATGCAATCTGACAGGCAGGTGACAGGGGGGTTGTAGGCTGTAAGAAACCATTCAAATGATGGTTTCTGCTTTCTTGGCTCCCAGGAAGGGCAGGGTGTATGGAAGCTTCTAGCACCACCATGGATCCATTCGGTTTTAGAGCCCACTAGAGTTTCACCATTGAGTTCCCTTCTATTGCTTAGCGAACCGAACAGGAGATTTTATCATGTGGTGGGACGTGGAGGGAGCTGATAAATTGCACTGAGTCTGTGAGCAAAGGAGTAGGTGGAGGATATTTCCCATCAGTGCTCCCTGGCTCCAAGTGGTGATGGGCAGGGTCTGGGGGCAAGGCCAGTCTTCAGGGACAGAGTGGATATTTTGTAGGCTTTTTGGAAATCCTTCCTGTTCTTCCAGATGAATGAAGAAGTGAATCCAAACCTGGAAGTGGATATTTGAAAAAAGTCCCATCATCACTTTGGGAGCTGAGATGTCCAAGTGTCACAAAGAAGAATTTCTCAATGAGGAACTGGCCAGCAAGGGGGAAAAATACCCTTCAAAAATACTTCCTGCTAGAAGTCAAATGGTAGGCAAACAAGAGTTGCACCATCAATGCTGTGTTCTTTCTGGGTTCATTTTTTGAATACGTTGGTGTCTGCAAATCCAGCATTGTGTTTGCCTAGCACTGACCCCCAAACTCTAGCCACAGGAGCAGCTCAGCTTGTGCAGGGCTTGAGCTGTTAGGGAAGAGGTTCTTAGTGATGGATCTCTAGGGAATGGGGAGCGAGCTGAGGTTCTCTGGTCATCCCAGAGGCAGAGTGACCCAGGACGTAAGAAGTCATGAGATCCATTCCTCTGCCTCCGTGTAGACATGTGAGGACCATTCATATCAGCCAAGAGCGATTCCATCTTCCTCGTTGTAATTTTAGAGATAGCTGAAGCTCTGGGTTCATAATCTCCTTCTCACCTGGAGACTGAAGGAAGAGTTGGCTTTGGCCAATAATCTTGACCTCCCACTGCCTGGAAGGCTATGTGCTGGGCTGGGGGATGAGCAACACAATGGTGGCATTAAGCACGCCTTGAGGAGGGGAGCCCTGGCTCTCCCCTCACCCATTGTAATACCTTGAGAAAGCATCAGTTTCCATATCTGAGAAGTAGGAGAGTGACGTTGTAAAGGTAAAATTCTGCAGGCATGCTCCCAAGCTCCATAGAGACACCCTTATGCTGCATCCATGCTACCCCAGCATGTGTGAAGGCTGCATCAACATGTCCTAGTAATCAGGTGACCCATCCCCTGTCCTCAGGTTTCACTCAGCCTCTGGGGAGGTAGATAGGACCAGGGGTGTTTAGGAACAGGGGGAAGCAGCTCCCAACTCATTTTCGGAAGTGTATACGTGTCTTTCTGCGTGTGAGGGTGTGTATGTGCTGTGTGTGTGTAGAGCAGGAAAGTGTGGATACATTTATGTGACTGTGATGAGCACAGATGGGTAAACGTGTGAGAGCTGAGTGTGTGTGTGAGTGTGCAGCTCCATGTGGGAGTGTGTGATTGTGAAGGTGTGTGAGCAGAGCAGATTTGTGGTTTATGCATGAGTCGGTGAATATGTGTGTGGATGATAGTTTCTGCGTGTGGGCGTGTGTGTAAGGATGTGTATGTGCTTTGTCTATATGAGTGTGTATATGTGTGAGAGAGTTGAGTATGTGTGACCTGTGTGGGAGAGTTGTGTGTGTGTGTGCACAGTTGAGTGTTGTGTGTCTGTGAGAGGTGAGAATGTGTGTGAGAATTGTGTGTGTGCATGCATGAAGGATTTTTAGCATCTTTGTGCTTGTGCTGAGTACCAGGGACCAAGCAGTGTGTGTGGAGCACTGAGTGCAGGGACTGGTGGAAGACCCCAGAGAGGATTTGTTCATTCGCTCATTCAATAAATATGCATGTGGGGTGGCATAGTGGGTTGGGCCCCGTCTGCGGTGTGGTGTTCCATGTGGGAAGTGGTTCAAGTCCCGGTTGCTTCACTCCTGATCCAACTCCCTGCTAATGTGCCTGGGGAGGCAGCGGAGTATGTCCCAGGTGGCTGCACCTATGTGGGAGGCTCGGATGGAGCTCCTGGCTCCTGGCTTTGGCCTGGCCCAGCCCTGGTTGATGTAGCCATTTGGGGGAGTGAGCTAGCCAATGGAAGATCTCTCTCCTCTCCCCTCACCCTGCCCCCAGTCTCTCTGAGACTCTTTCAAGTATATAAACAAATTGTTAAAAAAGTAGAGATGCATTGAGAGTCTGCATGAGTAGCCGGGCAGCCCTGCGTGGCTACCAAGAACCTGCCTTTGTTGCTGGTTTCCACTGCCCACCTGGAGCAGGTGCCTGGCCTTCCTGGAGCGCTGGAGGCTGACCTTGTCCACCATGTCTGCAGGTGCCTTCTCACCCGTCTTCTGGTGCAGGTTGGTCCCTGGAGGCCCCCATCAGGAGACAGAGGGCCATGGGAGAGGTTCGCATCTCTGGCAGAAGCTGGGCCCTCCCCAGTGGTGACCCCCAGAGGTGGCCCCTCTTCCAGGAGCACCCTCCCTCCCCTGGCTCCCTCAGCTGAGAGACTGAAGGGTCCCCATTGTTGCAGGCCTGGGAGCCCCCACATCCAAGTCTCCTCCATGAGTGGTCCCTTCATTTGCACATCTGGGGTGACCCCCGTTTTCAGCTGGGGTCTTCTGGGCTGTACCTAGGGTTGCATGGCAGTCAAGTTTCCTGCCAGGCCTGAGCTTGCTCAGCTTGGGGTGTGTCCTCAGCACTCTCCCTTTCTGTTGTCTTTGGTCAGAAAGCGGCCAATCAGCGGCCAGCAGACTCTCTCAGGTTCACTGCAGGCCTGAAGATCCTAGATTGGGCTTTCTGTTCTCGTGCCAGCTCAGGGGTGGGGGCTCGGCTCAGGGTGGCTCTGGGCACTCCCTGCCTTGGGGAGGAGAAGGGGGAAGATCAGTACCCCCGGGCAGCTGTGCCCGGCCTTGTGGGCAGCTGGCTGCAGCTCCAGCAGTTCCTCCTTCAGGACTGCTCTGCCTGCCCCCCTCTCCCCTTCCCACTTTACTCAGTTTGCAGCTTTCTGCCAGGATGCCCCAAAGGTGTCTAATAGTACCTTCTGCTATGCAGCAAATAGGCACAGAGCACTTGTGATGCGCCAGCTCCTGCTCCAAGCAAGGAAGAGCTGGCAGTGAGCAAGGCAGGCCGTATTCTCGCCCTTTGGAGCTTGGAGTACAGGGGAAGCCATGCGCAACGAGCAAGGAGACGCACCGTTCTGATTGGTCGGTTAGTGGTGCATGCTTGCAGGAATGCGGTGGGTGAGGCGTGTGAGCAGTTTCTGGAGGGTGCTCATGCAGGACGTATGGAGAAGGTGGCCTGTGAGCCGAGACCGGGAGAGGGCCTGACAGAGAACGGTGTACCAGGCAGGGCATGCAAGGGCAGAGCCTTGAGGTGGGAGCTATGGCTGCATCCCAGGAAGAGTGGCCAGAGTTTGCCCCTTACAGAGTTTCGTCGGGAGACCGGAGAGCAGAGGAGAGACGTTTGCATCTCTCTCTCCTTGTGGACAAGGAGGACAGTGATGGGCTCTGAGGTGAGGGAGGCAACAGAACAAACCTACTGAGACCTTGAAGGCTGTGTGGGTGGCTTTTGAATCTGTTCTCCATGAAACAGGTGTCTTTGAAGGACCCCTCTGGCCATTGTGGAGAGAAGGAGAGGTAAGGGCAGGAAGAGGCAGCCAGAATGGGACCACTTAGTGACCAGGAGATCACCACCAGCACACCTGACATGCCAGGTACTGGCTGCTGTTGTTCTTGGAATTGACATCACCACCCTGTCAGCAGTGCGACTGTTGGACCTTATGTTTTCGGTTTAGGATTCACATTCTTTTCCAGGAAATGGAGATGGAGGCTGGGAGCACTTACATGCGTAAGGTATAAAACTCTTACAGGAAGGGAGGACATGGGTGTCACTCTCATTTCAAGGATGAAGAAATTGAGGCACAGTTCCTTAACTGAGGTTGTAACTTGCTCAACTGCTTCTAAGTATTCAGTCCTATCAGAAAGGACCTCGAATCCAGGACGCAACACAGAGGTGCATTTGTGTTTTCTTCTCGCTAATGTAACGCCAAGATCCTTTTCCTCCTGGCCCAGTGAGATTCCAGGCTCCAATTTTTGGTGGAGGGAAATCCAAGGCCCACTCCTTTAACCACTACAGGTTCATAATTCTTTCTCATTGGCTCTGCCAATGAGGGGCAAGTCCACCTTACTGTGCCCCATTCCTCACATGGCATAATGGGATTGAGTAAATTCTACAACAATGGCTCTCATTTACTCCATATTTCCTGGGGGGTCAGACACTTTGCCAAGCATTTTATACGTACAATAATCCCACAATACCCTTACCTGGTTAACATTATTCTGTGTGTTATGGGTGGGGAAATGGAGGCATAGAGAGGTCAGGTTGTTTGTCCAAGGTCATATCCCTAGTGAAGGGCACAACAAAGACTTGAATCTTGGACCTGATGACTTTAATCCTGTGCTCTTTCCATGAACGTGTTCTGTTATTCTACTGCGTGTCCAGCTTAGTCAGAACATTCATGCATGGACTAATCAATTCACTAGTTAATTAGATGTATAGTGCTGATTTGGGGGAGTAGACTAGGGCAGGGAGGGGCTGCTATGCAAGGTGAAGTGGGTTGGGCTGTCTCCTGGTTGAGTCTGACTACTCCACTTCCAATCTGGCTCCCTCCTAATGTGCCTGGTAAAGTAGCAAAAGATAGTTCAAGTACCTGGGTCCTTCCACCCAAGTGGAGAACCTGGATGGAGTTCTGGGCTCTTGGCTTTAGGCTGGCCCAGCATTGGCTGTTGTGGCCATTTGGGGAGTGAACCATGCAATGGCAGATCTCTCTCTCTCCTGCTCTCTCTATAACTCTGCCTTTCAAGTCAATCAATCAATCAATCTTAAAAAAGAAACAACAGGGCAGGGAAAGAATGATTGGAATCAGATCAGTCTGGGAGGAACTTGGGGTTCCTGGGCTTCCTGGCGATGTGGTCCTAGGCAGAGGTGTTTGGCAGGAAGAGGCCCTGTAGAGATGCTGACACCTGAATCCCTGAAACCTGTGTGTATCTTAACTCATGTGGCAAAAAGGATTTTATGGGTTTTGTGGGGAGCAACCCGGACTGGACTGAGTTACTGGAATTAAGACTTATTCTATGCATCTGCTTTCCCACAATATGGCGCTGAGAAGGGAGAAACAGCTTCTGCTCAGCTGCCTCCAGTTCAACCAATAAACTGTAGGACCTGCTCCTGATTGGAGGAGAGCAGCGTACTCGGCGTGTGGGTAGCAGAGTTGGGATTGGTGGAAGAGGACTATAAAGGAGGAGAGAGACAACATGCACCAGGAACATCTAAGAGGAACATCTAAAGGGGAACATCTATCTGAAGGAACACCTGTGCAGCCCCCGAGAGAGCCGGCCGGCGGTGTGCCGCTCCCCCGCGGAAGTGGGGAATGTGGCAGGGGGAACCGCCCTTCCACGGAGGTGGAAGGGTCGGTAGCCAACCCGGGAAGAACCAGCAGCAAACCCGGGAAGGGCCGAGCAGACAAAAGAACAGCGCAGGGTCCTGTGTCGTTCCTCCACGAAGAGGGGGAGCGACATAATGGTGCCGTGACTCGGATATGAAGCCTAGGCAGGGTTTAGTGTCGGATATGAAGCCTAGGCAGGGTTTAGTGTCGTTCCTCCATGAAGAGGGGGAGCGACAGGTTTGATTAAGATAAGCAAACTTGACATGAGCTTGTCCTGATGGGCCCGATCTCATCACATGGGTCCCTAAAAGCAGAGACCCTTTCCTGGTCGTGGTCGGAGGGAGGGATGCTATGAAAGGAGGACCAGAGATGTTGCAGCATGGCAGCGTCTCACCTGGCCATTGCTGCCTCTGCAGGTGGAGGAGGAGGAGCCAGTGAATGCAGATGGCCCCTGGGGTCTGTAGAATACAAGGAAGCAGATGATATCTTAGAGCTTCCCAAACAGAGCACAGCCCAGCTGATGCCTTGCAGTTAGCCCTGGTGAGACTCACGTTGGATTTCTCATCTACAAAAGCAAGCTTACAACTTTAAGTTGGTGTGAGCTACTGACTGTGTGGAAATTTCTATGACCACAATAGAAACACTGATACGTTTACTTCAGACCTTGGGACTCTGTTCACCCCTGAGCAAAATGGGGGCCACAAACCTCTTTCTCCCTCTCTGGGTGGTTGTAAGAATCATGTGAGACTGGTATTATCAGTTTCTGACATGGAGGCTGGCACACAATAGATATCTGGGCACTATCAGCTAAACTGGAGTTTGACAAGGAGCTGCTGGGACATTCTCTTTGAACTCAGGCTGCAACCGACAGGTGCCCACTGGTGTGAAGACGGCAAGGCTTGGAGGTGTGCAAGACACAGTGGACTAGGCCGGTCGTGGAAGGCTCCACAGAGGGGCCTGGAGATAGCAGTTGGAGGGACATCTTGGGAGAATGATTTTGTGACTTGTAAGACATTAGGTCTGTCTCAAATCCAAGTATCTGGGTTACGTCCCACGCAGGTGGCGGGGGTGGGGGACATTAAATAGACTTGAGGTCAAGGTGTGGTCTACTGGAGCAGGGGTTTGCAGTCAGGAAACCCTGACTCTGGACCCTCGCTGGGCTGTTTCCTGCCATTGTGTTGTCTCTTCCAGATCTGTTCCTCCCCTAGAGCTCACTCAGTTGGGGGAAGGTAAGCGCTGAGAGAAGGTGGTTCTTCCCATCAGCGCTCGCTTGCCCCAGGACCTGAGGGAAGTGACGTTCTCCCCCTTGTCAGCAAAATACAGATGCTGCTCTGGGCAGCCTCTCAGGTACCCTGTAGCTCCAAGGGTCTGCAGGCCTGCGTGATTCCAAGGCAGGGAGAACCCACAAAACAATAAGCTGAAGGACGGATGTCACCACTTCCGAACAGTAAGGGCTACCCTTTACTTGCTAAATGCCAGGCTCTGCTCTCACAGTCACTCATTCATTATTTGCAGGCACAGAGAAGTTAGGTTTCCAGCCTTGAGTCACTCAGCATGACTGTGGCGTGTGGCCTGGCTGGGCTTCACCCCCAGCAGCTGTCCTCTGTAGGCTGTGCTAATAACAGAGAGCCTTGGGTTATTTCCATTTTGTTTCCTCCATTGTTGGGGAGTTATCACGCATCACCACCAAGGGCTGGTCATGTCTACTTTGCATCCATCTCCTCTTGGCTTGAACTCTGTTTCTTACTATCATCCAAGTTACACTTGGATGTTTTCTGGAAATTGAGGGCTGAGTTGGAAGAACGTTTTGAGAACTTAATACTCAAGTCTTCATGTTCTTGGATGATTTGTGAGTCCTACCTTCTAATTGATTATAATCACTGTTGAGATTTAGTGAACACTTGCTGCACATCGTGTCCATTCCAAAGACTTCAAGGGTGTTGACACTTCCAACCCTTGTGCTGTCCATATGTGATGAGGCAGGTCCTCTTCTCAGCCGCCTTTTGCAGATGAGGACATGGAAGCCCTAGGCATTGGCGAGAATAATGTGCTCCTGTCACACAGAGACTGTGAGACTTTGCTGGGATTTAAACGCAGGACGTCTGCCCACAGGCACTGACTTCCCTTGACTGCCTGTCTCAAGGTAGCCTGCTCCGGGAAGTACTGTGGAATGTTTCTAGGAGCTTGGTACTAAACGTGCTCCGTGGTCAAATGTTTATAAAAGTAGAGGAATATGAATTGAAACAAGTTACTCTATGTACAGATTCTTTAAAAACCAAGTGGTTGTTAAGACTTTCGAGAGTTAGACGCCAGACACACTTGTTAAACTCATTTGACCATGGATACTCTTTACTTTTGGTGGACTGTTTCAAAGAACATACTTTGTGAAAATCAGCCCCAGGATCATTCCAGCTGGGAAGGCTTTGGAGGTGATGTGGAAGAATCCTAGCTCCAGATTCTCTCTAGCCTTCCCTCCCCATTCCAGTTTTCCTTCAAATATCCCACCATCACCTGACCAGAGATTTGGCTGACCTTGCTGTGCACTGGGCTTGTTGACAGGAAATCAAGGCTGTATACTGAGTTTCTCGGAACTTCTAATGCACTAATTTCCCCTTTAAATCATCTTTTCTAACATAGAGGATTTCTAATAAAGCCAAATCACTGTTCCTAACTGATGAATAATTTTGGTAAATCTAATTTCTATATATCATAAACTTTTAAAAAGAGGCACATTTGAAATTTCTTTATTGGATGGGAAGAAAATGTTGGATAAGGAGAGAAGGACGGAAGAGGGTGCGGAAGCCAGGGATAGAAGCTGTTGGTTTTCCCCAAAGGTTGCACAAAATGGTATGACTTCTGCTTTTGCTGTGCTCTGAATTGCACTTGGGGAGCCCACTAGCTTACTTGAGAGGTTGGGGTGCAAGGCAGTCTTGTTGAATATGAAAGTCTTGGGTGTTTAACTTGCTGGCTGGCTTTTCCTGTTCACAGCAACCACAAACAGCGTTCACTTTGGCATGCAAGGTTTTTCTCATTTGGTTAATTTCCATGTTCAGTTCTGAGTACCAAGCACATACTATGGATTCGCTGTGAGTCTGGCTCTGTGGGTTTACTAATCTTCTTAATCTATACAAGCTGGTGTGGATTTATTCATTCATTCCCAGGCCCTGGAGATACAGAGATGACTGAAGCATGGTGTCGGCACTGGAAGAGAACTCAGTTGAGTAGAGATGATTAAGCCAAATAGGCAGCAGATCAGAACTTCCGGCAGAGCTTAAGGATCAACAAAGATGGACAAAGCTGAGTGACCATAGCCATGTGGCAAGCTTGGCATTCTGGAGGACTTTCTTGATAGAAGGGGCAATTGAATTGGACTTGGAAAGATGGGTAGGGCGATACTGAGTGATACAGAGAAGTTAGTGGAAAATACTTTCTGGGAGAGGGAACTGCGTCAGCCAGGAGAAGGCTTAGGAACACTAAGAGGGTACTACTAGCTTGTTACAAGAGGCAAAGGGACACTAGATCTCGGTTATTTTGCTATTCTATGACAATGGGTGCCACAGGTCCTGTGGTCCCTTAACATCTGGCAATGATGGAAATCTAGCAGAGTTTCTCTAGGGATCAGCTAAGTGATTTAACACTAGAAACCTCGTTTTTATTATCAACAGAATATGGGTAAGTGTTTATCTTGCTATGTTAAGGTAAGGATTAAGAGTGAGTGATGTATGTAAAGTTTGGGAACCAAGGATAACAACTGACATGCTCAGCGACGCTCGTTGTTATTATTATTACTTTTCTGATGACTACCACCGCTCTGGAATGTTCGGGGATTTCGTCAAACAGCTTGGCCATCAGACCTCTAAGGGTAGACACGCTCAATTATTTCTTCATCTTCCGCACTTACGATTTCTGAGCTGGTAGCTTGCAGTAAATGCCTTTCAGATGACTTGAATGATTGAGTGGATAAACATGAGCAAAACATGCCTTCTTGCTATGAAACAACATCCCAGGGAGGCTGAAGATAGCAGCCCGGCCTTGGTGGGAAGCCCTCCTCGCCACTGGATCAACCCTTTATCTTCATGTGCATCCTCTGCGAGTTCCTCTCGGGTAAAGAACATTTGACCCCTGTTTAGAAAGATGGCCTTTCACAATCTCCCAGTTCCCTAGATGGGACTTGCTGAGCTGACAGAATGAAGACAAGAACTAACTATTTTTAGGATGAACTAGAAAGATTAGAACTTTGCTCTCTGCTCAAATATCAAACCTGCCATCTGTAGGAATCCAGAGAGGAATGGTTGGGGAATTGGATGCAAAGAGGTGTGTGCTTTTATTGCTCAAAATTCCCTCATAAAGATATTAGTAGACATGATGATGGAATGTCATTTCTGTGCGAGGCACAATATTGATAATATTGATAAGAGCTTTGCATTCATTATCATCTAATTCTTTCTTTCATGTTAAATATATTCCTTTTTACTTGTTAATTCGTGAGATTGGCTTATTTCTTCCTATTTTTGCATGATAGGAAAATCGAGGCATTGAGAAATAAAATATATCAATCAAAGCCACACAGAGAGGATGAAGTCCAGCTGGAATTCCAACCCTGGTGTGTCTGTCTTCAAGACTCCAGCCGCTGTGAGAATGAAAACAATGCAACAACACAGTACAGGGGGAAGAGAACAGCCTCAGCTTGCTGACTGAAGAATGCAGTCCTTCAAGTCGCAGCTGATGTGTTGAGTGTGCCATTTTGCCGGGACGGCGGCAGATTTGTAGAGGAGGAAGTCAAGGATTCTGTCTCTGAGGAGCTCACAGCCTCGTGAGGGAGGTGTAAGGACTCTGTTATCTTTCACCTGTGCATCTTCTTCATTACCTTCTTGGGGTCTGCCCTTCCCCACTGCATGCACGTTGGGGGGTTTGCCAGCCAAGGTGCCTGTACTCCTCCAGCCAAGGGGTTGGTGCTGCCCATGTTGGAAAACCAGACTCTGGGAAAGTAAGGTCGTGACTTGAGGTCTGAAAATGGCTGGCACTGACTGCTCCAGCTGCCCATTTGTTTCTGCTTTTGCTTCTTTCTGAGAGCTTCCTTGTGGCAGATCCCATATCTTGGCTCACTCAGCACACATTGTAAGTTGTGCTTCTCTATTCTAGAAAGTGACAGTCTCAAAGCTCTTTCCCAGACTTCCTTGAAGAGGTGGCCATTGGGCATAACCAGTGAAAGGCAAATGTAAGTCTGTGGACATGGTGGACTTGTGGGCATGGTGGTTGTGTCCACATGTGGACATGGTGGACTTGTTGGCATGGTGGTCGTGTCCACATGTGGACACAGTGGACTTGTGGGCATGGTGGACATGTGGACATGGTGGACATGTGGACATGGTGGGCATGTGGGCATGGTGGACATGTGGACATGGTGGTCATGTCCACATGAGGGCATGACAGACTTATGGACATAGTGGATTTGTGGACATGGTAGTTGTGTCCACATGTGGACGTGGTAGACATGTAGGGATGTGTTTGTGTCCACATGTAGACATGGTGGACACGTGGACATGGTGGTTGTGTCCACATGTGGACATGGTGGAGTTGTGGGCATGGTGGTCATGTCCACATGTGGACACGGTGGACTTGTGGGCATGGTGGTCTTGTCCACATGTGGACATGGTGGACACGTGGACATGGTGGGCATGTGGACATGGTGGTTGTGTCCACATGTGGACATGGTGGGCATGTGGACACGGTGGTCCATGGTAGCCAGCTTGTAGAGTAAAAATTATTGTTATTCTCCATCTTATGGGTCAAAAGAACTTCTTGGAGCTTGTGTTCTACGAAAGTGAAGAAAATAAAGTGATTAATTCAAACTGTGACAGCTTCATGAAAGGAGTGACTTTGAGCTGAGTTTTGAAGGATTAGCAGACTTTTGGTCAATGCAGCAGGCAATGAGAAGAGCATTTCCAGCTGACACAAGAAGAGAAGATCCTGGAGGCATGAGCAGGGTAGGGAGTTTGGGAAATAAGGTTGGTTGGTATTCAGTGCTGGAGTGGGAAGTGTAAGGGAAGCAGGATTGGAAAAGTGGACAGGGGTCAGATCATGAAGAGCCTGGTACACTGGCAGCCTTTTTGGGTTGCAGAGAATGGAGGCATCCATCCAGATGACCTCAAGTAATAAGTTGATTGTGAGAATATAGATGATAATAAAGAAGGTTCTAGAATTAGATCCAAGCTTCTTAGAGAACCAGGACTGCACACAACCAGTTTCATACAGTGGAAAAAACCCTCAAGATAATCAGGCCTCATGGAGGTTGGAATGCATTTTGACAATGTAAAGCTGTTCCAAATCAAGCCCAGTCCTATAACTGAATTGTCTCATATTTCTTTCAGTAAAAAAAGCTTCCTGGTCCCTTCTGTAGAGATCTGACGTGAACATGAAAGCCGTTTGTGTCCGAGGCTCCTCGTGTGTCTCCAGCTCACATCCTAGAGAGCGTGCATCACTTGGGATGGGGTTGGCTCTGCTGTGATAACAGATTAGCCCTGGAACTGTCCCATCTTTGCATAGTTACACAAAGTGTCACCCAGAACATGTGACTTCAGAGTTCCCTGTGGCAAGAGAAGATATAGGGACAAAGGAGGCCCCAGCTCCGTGACTTTCTGGACTCTTATCTTTACTGTGCATTCAGCAGAAGCAGCCACATGGTCCTCACCCAACTGTAAGTGAAGTTTGGAAGTGAAACACACAGAGGATTCGATAAGTGTGAACTCGCTGCTGGAGTCTGGGGGATTTCAGCGGTCCCCTTCATCTCTGCTGGGCAAATCGCTCTTGCCACGGTCACTTCCTTGGCCCCTTTCCGGCGATGGATTGGCTGCCCTGCACACAGGTGCCTTTTCCTGCTTCCATGAGCTGTGTCATGGGCAGAAGAGACAGTGGACTCCCTGATGTGGGCAGGGGCATTTCCATTTGATGATTAAATGACTTAATGGAACCACTTGAGTGTGGTGTGTGAGGATCAGAAATGGAGAGTGGTAGTGGGGCACTGAAGGGCGTGATGGGATTTGCAGTTTGCTTGGGCGACCCCAGGACTGGGCTGAACCTGATGGAGGGGAGACACAGGACAGATGGAAAGTGGAGAGATGGGTCATGCTACTTCTGCTATTGTCTTAAGAGGACGCAGTACAGGAGCAAAAGGAGTCAGAGCAAAATCTGGCACTGAACCTGGGAGAGACGAAGCAGGCGGGAGTCGGGCTGGCGGGGGAGGGCCCATGGAGCACCTGCCGTGGGACTGTGTGGGAAGTGGATGAGGTGCTGTCTCCGGGAAGCCAAGCCCAGACCCTGCACTTGCTGGGAGTCCCTGCTCAACACGCTCCTGCAGGGCCCTGCTGGAACGCTCCAGGGGAGGGAAGCTCACCACATTCCCAGGAAGGCTGTGCTTTGTGGGACCTCAGTAACATTTCAGAAATGCCTCCCAAGGTCCATCTCAACTCTGTCCTCCCTTCTCTTTCCTTTCTTCTCCATCCATGGTCCTTTTCTCCCTTAACTCCCTGCCCATAAGCAAACGAGTCCTATCGGCTCCCTCGGATTCCCCCGCCTTCTCTTTCTCCTCTGCCTCCTCTTCCTCCACCTTCTGCCCTCTCTCCTCCTCCTGCCTTCAACTTCTCAGGCAGTCCCAGAATGGAACTTCCCACCCAACGTCCCTTTCCGACCCTCCCCAGGGGACATTTCAGTCCCCTCTGCTGGGATGGGAAGCACCCCAGGGCTTCCAAGGAGCAGAGGTTGCATCTCTGAGAGGACAGTGATGACAGAATTCATAAAAGGCATTGGCCATTGAAGTGTTCTCCTTGGATATTCACATACAAGGTCTTCCACAAGTTCATGGAAAATGTGTATTATGCAAAAGCTGTGCATGGACCTCAAAACTTTTGGTAGCATAATCAACTTATTGGTTAATTTCCCATTCTGGGAACTTGTTGAAGGAGCCTCGTATAATAGGGAGAGCTGACTGTGGGGTGATGGGAAATGCCTTATCCTGGGTGCAGGAGGCGAGGTGTGACGTTTAGCTAACTGTGCTCCTTACAGTTGAAACCTTGACAACAGCCTGAATTCAGGGGTCCACAGTTAGTGGCCCTGTCCTCTTCTGAATGCAAAGCCCAGTTCCACGTCTCCCTGTGTGTTTCTTTAGAGTGCTTATGCATTTAGGGCTCACTCAGACCCAAGCAGGGAGCCCTCCCGGTCCCTGCCCGGATGTCACTCTGATCTAGTTTGGATGAGAGAGAGAGAGAGAGAGAGAGAGAGAGAGAGAGAGAGCACTCACCTGCCCTAAGTAACAGCAATAAAAGTGACAGTATTAGGAGCACTAAAATGTGAGCCAAGCTAACAGAGATTATCTCATTGAATCTCACCAACGACTGACTCAGAGAGTCACTGTTTTATTCCCATTTTGCAGGTTTAGAAAGAACAAAGACAGTGCCCAAGATCCCACAGCTAGAAAGTGGCAGAGCTGGGGTTTATGTCCTCACTTGTAAATACTTCCTGCTTTTCTCCTCCATCACACACACACACACACACACACACACACACACGAGGAGGAGCAGCACCTGAGCAGCCCACGATTGCCAGGAGCCCCTCCTGCAGGGGTGATGTCAGAGCTGAGTCCTCAGGAGGTGTGGGAGCACCTAGCAGAGAGGGGGCGAAAGGGGACGGTGTGGGCAGCGTGGTGGGGGTGGTGAGAGAGTGGGAGGTGGGCTTGGGGAATCCGGTGCTCAGCGTGGCTGACACGTGGCTTTCCTGGAGGGGAGGGTGTGAGATGGGGGTGGAGAGGTGGACAAGGCCAGGACAGGCAGAGTGTAGGCGTTGTGCTCTGAGAACCCAGGTTATCTTAGGGGCCAGGGGTGCATTGAAGGCCCCAGGAGAGGCCTGTGTTTTGGAAAGCTCACTCTGCTGTGTAAGCAGGGTTTCAGGGACAGATGGGCCGTCACTGTGACCCCTAGGATGGCCTGACCAATGCTCACTGTCTGTGAGGCAGGAGAGGCCTGCAGGAGGCCACACTTCCTCAGTCCCACCACCCCTCAAGTCCCAGAGGAAGTAAGGCAATGGCCCCAGAAGTCCTTATTGTCAGGGGGATGGCGTTCAGAAAGAGTGGGAGATGTGCGCTCGGTCCTAGCTCCGTAGCTTGCTGAGGGGACCTGGGCCTGGCTGCTTTGCCTCTCAGAATCTCCGTTTTGTCAGAGGTAACATCTTCATCACAAAGTGGCAGTAGGGAGCCTGGGAGATGAAGGCGGACACACAGGTTTTAACCGTTTTCCGCCGAACGCTTTGTTCCAGTCCCCCGTGTCTGCGTAATAGACAGCCTGAAACCTTAGCGGCTTAGCACAATATTTTGTTTCTGGGTTTGTACTGTGGGCAAGGGAGGGACCTGCTCGTCTCTGCTGTACTCAGTTTCAGCAGCAGCAGCCTAAAGGCTCGTTTGCTTGTCACTCTGGAGCTGCTGTGGGCTGTCGCCCGGGACCTTAGCTGGGACTGCTGGCAGACCGCCGCACGTGGCCTCGAACTTCACGCAGCCTGGGCTCCCTTACAACATGGCGCCTGGGCTGCCAGCAGCAGCAGCACTCAGAAGCGGAGAGCATTGGGTGGCTGCACAGCTCGCTTCGGAAACCACATGGAGTCACTTCTGCTTCAGGTTATTAATTAGGAACCAGTCACTAAGGCGGGATTGCGTGCAAGAGGAGAGGAGTTAGACTTCCTTTAAGGGGAGGAGTTCAAAGAACATTTGGACATGGTTTAAAGCAAACGAATTGCGACCTCACGGCCATGGGTCAGGCGGGATGGCCATGAGCAGTCAGAAGATGGGGTCTCTTCCCTCCTTTGCGCTGACTTTCATGAGACTAACGACCCAGAGCTGGCTGATAGCTCAGCTGAGACACCGCATAGAAGGTTGTTTCAGTACTATCAAGGGCTGAGCTATGATATCACATTTCAGAAACAGAGGCAGTCTCAGAAACTTACAATTGATGGAAAGTAATTGAAACCTAGTTTAAATTAATGTACAACGGATGTATTGGTTGAAGTTTTAAAAAACGTCTTAGAGTGTGTGCTTCAGGAAAAGCTTGCTCCAGCAGCACGAAGATGACTCCTGTGATCTGAAGTCCCTGTGTCTTCTCTTTGCCTTCCCTCACTGCGGGTGGCCTGGAAGCTCCATGTTTTCATACTTCTTCATTCCTAAGCAGATAGACAGAAGATGCCTTTTCTCCTTCGTTTCCAGCAGACACACTGAAGCCCACCCTGGCTGGGCCAGTGTCCATCACATGCCTACCTGTGGACCAGTTGTGGTTTGCAGCTTGGTGGAACTCCGTGGCTGGCTTGGTCAAGGTCACAGCGCTGGAGCTGGGGCAGGGATGGAGTCAGCTCTCCCTAAACCCTGTAGTGGACATCAGCAGGAAGGGAGACACGGCACTGTGTCTCCCAGGTTTAATCTCCTCTGCCTTCCATGCCCGTTCAGTTACGAGGAATCGTAATTGGACCTTGGGTTGGAGTAGGGGTGGTGGTGGGAGGAGCCCTATCTTTTATTATTATTATTATTAACAGACTTATTTATTTATTTGAAGAGGGGTGGAGAGAGAGAAAGTGGGAGAGAGCTTCTGTTTGCTGGTTCACTCCCCAAATACATGCAACAGGCAGGTCTGAGCCAGGTCAAAGCCTCTGACCTTAGCCTCAGTCTGTGGGCTCTAGGCTTGAGAGGAATGGAAAGGCAAGGGTCCCACTGGGGAACAGACTCCGGTGGCTCCCACAGAAGGAAGGAAGGAGACTTTGGAGGATTGCCCAGCACCCAGAGCACCAGGCCAAGACTTGGCAAGGTGCTCCTGGCCGGGCCCGGCTGTTCTGACACTCTGGGCGATGGCATCATGCAGTGAGGCCACCTGCCTGCCCGAAGGCCTCTGGCTGACCAGGTACATCTGCAGCGAGGCGAGGGTCACTCTGGCCCTTCCCTCTGCTGCCCCGTGCGTGCGGCTCAGCTCACTGTGGTGTGGAAGGAAAGAGCAGCTCCAGTGCTGCTACCTGCGGGCCAAGTGACCCCAGCACCTGTGAAACTCAGTTTCCCAATCTGCCAAGGAGGACAGAGAGCCCCGGCCTGGCCTTCGTCTGCCACCAGGCACAGGATTTGGAAGGCAGTGGCGCAAGGACTTGGTGCCCACGACCCATGGTGGAGGATTCTCCATACTGCTGAAATCATAGGCGCCCTGGCTTTGCCGTTGGAAGCTGGAAGCTTCCGCAGAATCCAGGCTCTGGCTGCAAGCTGCCACCTTCCAGATTGAGCAGAAGATACACAGGGCACAGAGGAAGAGCTGCCCCTGCAGGCCTCTGTCCTGAGACCTCATCGTCTCTGTTTTTCCTGGGAGGCCTGCAGGGCATCTGGGAGCCTTCCAACCTGCACGGTGCTACCTGTTGAATAATCGGTACCTCGGCACCTGTCATCACCTGAGAGAGGCAGCCAGGTGGAGGTAAGGAAGCAAGCCACACACGAAGGAGGGGAAGCCCCCTCCCTCTCCCCACCAGTCACCTGTACCCTCTCTGGGCCTGTTGACTTCCTGATTCAGGGTGTTTCCTGAGCCCTGTCAGTCAGGTGCTCCCTCTGTCTCGAATCTGTACCCTTGCTCCCTTGGTATTTGAAATCAAGCCCACTTTATTCATTCTTAAATAAATGTCTTTAACAGAAATGTTGAGGTCATAAATACGTTCACTTGTGAAGAAGCAGGTTGCCGTTAAGTACAATTTAAATATATTTATACATAAGTGACACCTGGCATGGATTTGCAAGGGGCCACAGAACCAGTATTGATTATGTATGCATTGATTCACATCCGATTTAATTCACCCAGGGTTAAGACTTATGAGGCTCTACTTCCCTTCTTCTAGAGAGCAAAATGCAAGGGGTGTTACTGGGCCAAAGTTGCAAACTCTGTGAATGAGGTTTGCCCCTCTCTTTATGTCCACGAGAACTCTTCAATCAACAATTATGTTCGAGTGTGTTTTCTTGGAAAACTCAACATGCTTCCAGAGTCGTCAGTGTGACAGCCCAGGAACAACGTGCTTGCATAGCTCGAAGCTGGGACCAGAGAGGTGAGGATTTATACCAAGGCCCAGGAGTGCAGATTGGATGGTATGAGACTCCGTCCCTGATTTCCATGGCTGCTGTGTGTGTGTCCATTAGGGGGCTGTGTGCTGAGGCTGTGCGGATGAAACCATTGCTTTGAGGAGCTCCCAGGACATAGATAGGGTAAGCGTTGACTGAATGTTGGATGTTCCGTGTTGGTGGAGTCATGTGCAAAGTGCTTTGAGAATAGCGTGTGCACGTGATGTGTCAGAAGAGATCCAGGCTTTGAGGCCAGATACACCTGAATGTCAGTTTCAGCTCTGCGGTTTA